TGGTGTCTACAGTAGAATATGGAGAAAAACAGTATAGGTGAAAATAAATGGAGATACTATTTTTAAGAATAGAGGATGGGTATCTAAATGGACACAACTTTGAACTTCAGGAAAAAAAAATCAGTTAGGAGGATTAAAATACTGATGGAAAATTACTGAGGATAAAAAAACAAGGTTTCAATATATCAACAGTTTTATTTATTTTTTAAATCCTAGATGGTAAATATCTTTGGAACAATGCTTTAGGTGATATTTCTTCTTCGGTGTAAATAAGAATTTTGTTTAAAATTTTGGCTGAAAAAGCTATTTGTTAAATTCGCTAACAGTGCATTTTGAGTAATTAGAGGTTTTTATTTTAAAAAAAACAACAAAAAGAACTGGTTGAATCCAGGAATTAGTAATATGAATTTCATCTGATTCAGTAAAATCAGTGAGATGGTACTAGCTGAATTTGAAATCTAGATTAGTCCCAACAAAAATACATAATTCTTGGTATTTTTTATAATCACCTACTTAACACCGGAATTAAAAGAATTGTATGAAATAGAATATGTGATTGATATTCACAACATAAGAATACTGGTAGGTGACCTGAAAATGGTTTGAATTGTGATAATTCAACTTCAGAAAGTAATTAAAAGGTTTCTGTCCTTTGTAATCTGACATTGAAGCTGGTATTTTACTCTTATTGTTCAAAGTACTAATATGGTACTGAATACGCTGGGGCAATATTGGATCTGGTAGGAGATCAATGCAAAAAAGTCCTCCTTTATAAACAGAAATAACAGGTACTGTTTATAATTGTCAGGTTAGTCAAAAATAAGTTCTTTGGGTTTTGTTTTTTCTTCTCAAAATAATTTATTTAAAAGATAATTTTTGAAATATCAACTCCTTCTGAAGTTAATTTCAAATTTCAGGAATTTGATTAGAACAATTAGCTCAAGTTTTTGAGTTCAGCTGAACATACACGTCTGAGGTTTACTAATGAATGTTTCTTCTAATAAAGGATTATATAGGAAATCTTGGTTTAACAGGGTTATGCATTTATCTAAAACAAAACCACTGCCTTCTAGGAATAAGGAAAATACAAAGGCTCAGTTGGTTTAACTGAAACATTAAATATTATAAGATTTTCTTATTGACAAATATTTCTGTCCAATAAGTATCCAAATGAATTATATGGAGTTTGGAATGGTTACTCTGTTACTGTCTGAGCAAAAACAGTTGTTAATAACCAAGACTAGAATCATTACTAAGGTCAACTTCATTTAGTTGAGATATTTGGCAAAATTGTTGGGGTTTTTCCCTATTCAAATTAAATGTTAAAGGTTGCAAAAATATTTAAATTATAGATTAAATTTGCTTTACAAGACACAGCTGAAATATCCCCTTAAAGAAGTGTTAAAATGGCTTTATGAATGCATATCTTTTGACGAGAACTCATAATTAAAAAGGGTTTCATTTCTTTTTTTCAAACGGGATGGCACATCCCAGTTGCTAAGTAATCTTGAAAGTTAAAAATTGGTGCTAATGGACTATTCCATCTATTTAAGAAGTTTTGAAATGCAAGTAAAATATGCAAAGTTGTTCAGTTTCAACAATTACCTATTGATGTAAGGGGTGATGGCAAAAGGTAGCCATGTTTAAGCAAGCTTAGAATTGAATTCTTTATAAAAAAAATAATAATAAATGTTACTCGTTGTAAGATTTTGCAGATTTGGTTCCAGTATTAGTAAAATTAGGTCCCAGTGGCTGTGTCTAAAGATCAGGTCAACTGAAATGATGTGAACATTTTAACAGTGTCTTCAGTGGAATACAGAGGAAGCAATTTAGACAACAACAACTGGAGATAGACCTCAACACAAAGTCCAAAAGGACAAAACATTGAGTATCAAAACCTTCTGACTTAATAAGGAAATAGCAAGAGGAAATTACAAAGATGTTGGCGTTTTATGGAACTTATTCCAAGTATTACTAAACACCGATGGGAAAATCATGCCTCCATTGAATTCAGTGGGAGTTTTGCCACTGCTTTCAGTGGTCAGGCATTCAGCCTGAATCAGTTGGTGCAGCACAGTGAGGTTCAACAGAAACGCCGCAGTGGCACAGCTGCTGCTGTAGCACTACAGTGTAGAAACTGGCTACCACGACATAAGGGGTTCTGCCTTCACTCTAGTTAATCTACCTCCCAGAGAGGCAGTAGCCAGGTCGATGGAAAAATTCTTCCATTGATTTAGCACTGTCTACACTGGGGGGTTAGGCCTGCTTAACTACATCACATGGGAGTAGGGGGGAAGGGGGTCAATGTTTCACACCCCTGAGCGACCTAGCTGGGTTGACCTAACTTTTTAGTGTAAACCTGACCTTAGGTTATGTCTACACTACAGACATAATCCCAGTAGAGATACATCAATGGAGCTATGCTGGCATAACCCTGTAGTGTAGATGCAGCCTACATGGATGGAAGGGGGTTTCCATCGGTGTAAGAACACCGTCTCCCAAAATGACAGTAGCTATATTGATGGAAGCATTCTTCTGTTGGTACAGCATAGCTACATCACTTGGGGGTATGTGTGTGTTTTTTTCCACATCCCTGGCCAATGTATCTGGCAACCAACCAAGCCTCCGCCTTAACAGGGTTAACACATAAGTCCTCTTATGAAGTGAGAATAACAGATGTTTCTAATCCATCGGGTATTGTAAAATGAATTTTCAAAGAGGAGATTAAAAATCTATTATAAAAATATCATAGTAATAGCAATTTCCATAGAAATAATACTCCTCCAAAGACCAACATAATTATTTTAATGAAAAAAGTGCAAATAAAGAATAACTTGTTCTGTTGAAATGTAAATCCAAACTACTTTTACAGAGCTTTGTTCTCTAACAAAATATATGAAATAGGAATAAAAGTAAATCAAATAGAGGTTTGTGATCTCACAAAACTGAGCG